TCCCGATCCCGATCCCCCTCCCCCGACCCCCGGCTGTGCCTGCCCCCGGTGCGGGGATGCCCCGGTCCGTGCCAGGCCCGGTTATCCTCGGGTGACCCCCCGGTGCCGGAGCGGTGCCGGAGCGGTGCCGGAGCGGTGCCGGGGCTCGGGGCGGTTCTCTGCTCTCCCGGCCCCCTGCTCTCACCCACTCCGTGTCCTCTGTTGCAGGCACAACAGCTGGGAGCCTGAGGAGAACATCCTGGACCCCCGCCTGCTCCTGGCTTTCCAAAAGAAGTGAGCAAACTCTAAATATTTCTAAGCAAACTGTAAAGTCAATTAGCTTCTAATTAGGTGGAAGTTGTTGGAAACAACAGCCTGGAGCTGGCCCGGCTCTTTGTGGCCAGGCCCTTTTGTTTGCCCCTGGAGTCACGGTACAGGTCCACCTGGAATGGCTGTGCCCTGGCCAGCACCGAGAGTTCACAGCCCGATTGTGCTCCGGGCACACCGGGAAATGTGGCAGTGCCTGGCACAGATCTGGGGGCTCCCGGTCCCCATCCAGCGCTCGGGGACCTTGGCTGTGCTTGGGGGCAGCCACAGACCCCCGTGGGGAGATGGTGCCTGGGCTTGTGAGGCATTGAAACAAACTCCTGGGAGGGTGAGGGAAATAACGCCTGGGAGAAAATCATAGAGAATGGGAGGGGCTTTAAACTCATCCCRTTCCACTCCTTGCCATGGGCAGGGACTCCTTCCACTATTCCAGGCTGCTCCAAGTCCTGTGCAACCTGGCCTTGGACATTCCCATGGATGGGACAGCCACAGCTTCTCTGGGCACTCTGTGCCAGGGCTTCACCACCCTCACAGGGAGGAATTTCTTCCCAATATCCCGTCTAACCCTGCCCTCAGTCAGTGGGAAGCCATTCCCTATGTCCTGTCACTCCAGGATGTTTCAGTGACCTGAAACATCCCTGTCCCCTGGCCTCCAGCCTGGGCCACCATGGCCAGACCAGGAGGTGCAGAAGAGGTGGAAGGACCCTGCAAAGGAGAGGGCTCACAAAGCTTCCAGGGAATGCATTTGATTTTCCCACATTCAGCATGAAAGCTCAGCTCCGCAGGGGTAAACCAAAGCCAGGGCAGATCCTTCCCTTTGCCTGATCCCCTTGTGCCATAAAGACAGCAAATCTCACCAAGAATTGGAAAAGGCACAGATTTAGGATGGGTAACACCATGAGATCAATCACTGCCCACTGGAAGCCGCAGGGATGTCACTGATGCAGACAGGGATGCTCTCTGGGCCCTGCCTGGCTGCCTCAGTTCCCCCAGATGTTTTTTTCTTCCCCATAAACTTTGTCCTTAATCCTTGTTTTCTCCAGGGAACAGGACAAAGAAGTKCAGAATCGGAAGAGGGGCAAGCGGCCCCGGGGCAGGCCCAGGAAAAACGTGGTGAGTCCTGGCCGTGGTGGGAACGCTGTGACAGCACTGGAGGGGCTCTGGCCTTGGAGGGCACTGGGGGTGGCCTCGAGCACACAACTCATCACATGGGCTGATGGATCCCTAAAGATGAGCCTCGTGGAGAAAGGATCTGTGTGTGAGGCYGCCCTGGAGGCTTTGTGATGCCCATAACCATTCCTTGGCCATTGCTGCTGACTCTCCCTGTCTCTGTTGCTTTGCAGGAACCAGAGATGCCTGCGAAAACTAAGTCGAGCAGCTCCTCTTCCTCTTCATCCTCCTCTTCCTCCTCCTCCGATGAAGAGGACGAAAGTGATCTGGAAGCAAAGAGGGGTCCCCGCAGCAGAGAGACGCACCCGGTGCCGCAGAAGAAAGCCCAGATCCTGGTGGCCAAGCCTGACATGAAAGACGCTTCCAGGAAGAAGCGTGGGCGGAAACCCCTTCCCCCAGAGCAGAAAGCGGCTCGAAGGACTGTGAACCTGACAAAAGTGCTGAAAACCTCCCGGAAGGAGGTGGGGGGCAGTGCCAAGCTGGTGGGGAAGCTGCAGCCCCAGCACAGCACGCAGGGCTCGGGCATGGCTGTGCTGAAGGACCCATCGGGCACCTTGGCTGGGCTCAGCTCGGGGGGATCGTCGGTGGAAAACCTGCCCAACATGATGAAGAGCGGCTCGGCGAGCCCCAGCCAGGCCATCAGCTGGCAGAGCTCCATCGTGCACTACATGAACAGGATGTCCCAAAGCCAGGCTGCAGCCGAGAGCTCGGCCCTGGGCAGGCTGGCACTGAAGGCACAGGCAGCCAGTAAGGGCAGCTTAGGGCTGGACTTGAAAATGAGGAGCCAGAAAGGCTCCGGGGAGYTGGGGCTGAACGTGCAGGGACCCAAAACTGCAAAGGCTCCCGGCAGCAGCGCYGGAGGGGACCAGAAATCGGGGTTTGCTGCGGGAGGCCAAATGCTGCCCAACGGCAGCAAAACACCATCAAGCTTGTCGGGGGCTGGCGTCCAGGCAGCCTCCAGCCAGGAGCTGAACCTGCAGGCTCTGAACCTGCAGAGTGTCAAAAACGGGCCGAGCGTGGCCAGCGGGAGCAGCGTCCCCCGGCACCTCTGCGGCTCCCTGGCCAAGGGCTCCGGCGGCGGCTCCAGCGCGGGTGCCAAGGGCGGTGCGGGTGGGGCCGGGCTGAACGCTGCCAGCGCTCTGCCAGGGGGGGACAGCGGCAAGAACAAGAAGCAGACACAGCGGGCAGGTGACAGGGACTCGGCCAAAGGCGGCTCGGCCACCGAGAGCCGCAAAGCGCCCGGCCTGGCCGAAATGAGCACGGGCGAGGACAGCAGCTCCGATTCGGACCGCGATTCAGCGTCCCTCCCAGGGGTGGGGCAGAACATGTCCGTGTCCATCCAGACCAGCCAGGACTGGAAACCCACCCGCAGCCTGATTGAGCACGTCTTTGTCACCGATGTCACCGCCAACCTGATCACTGTGACGGTCAAGGAGTCCCCCACCAGCGTGGGCTTTTTCAACCTGCGGCAATACTGAGCCAGGAGCGCAGTGAGAGGAGGGAGAGCGTCCTTCAGCCTCACCGYCAGCTCTGCCCAGCTCTTCCATCAGGTTTTTCTTTCTTCATGTGAACGCAGAAACCTCGTGAGACCTGCTGGAACTCGTGCCTGGAAAGGATGGACAAATWCGCAGTGAAACCTGTTCCAAACTGCCAGCGGGTCCTGGATTTGCCCCCCAGCTCCTCTCCACCCTTTTCTGGAGCCGTGCCCTGTTTGGGGATGGCCAATGCCATTCTTTGGGAGCAGGGGCRATGGTGCTGGCCGGTTTTGAGCCAGGCTTCACTGCACGCAGGTCTCTTYGCTTTGAAACAGCAGAAGCCAAGGTTTGCAGCTCCCTGGCCATGTGGAGGTTTGGAGCTGCCATGGGACAGTTTTATACCTGGGAGAGGACCAGGAGATCTCTTCTGGSCTTCCTGTGGATCTGTCTGTGAGCCATGGGCAACTGCAAGTCAATCCAAATGARACAGCTGCTGCTCCCAGCCCTCGAGGCTGTGGGGAGGCAGCTGCATTYGGGGGTTTTTTCAGGGTACAGTCAGCCCAGCCACCCCCCTGGGCAAGGTCATTTCCAATGATGAGAAACCCACAGCGTTTCTGYTGGGGTTTCCAGCTGATAGGGAAATATTGTTTACATTTTTTATTAAGGATTTTTYTTTTTTGAGGGAGGGAAATAACGCCGGTGTAAGATAGGTTGAGAAAGTCCTGCCTTGAGAGCCAGCGAGATGCATCAGCTTCTCTGCAGTGACTCCAGAGGAACGTGAATTTTTGGGAACCCCCACACTGCTCCTCTGCCCTGTCCCGGCACTGCCAGCATCTCCACCTCCTGCTCAGCAGGTTTCAGGTACTACAGAGACCAGGCTGGGCAATATTTTTTAAGCCTTGCAGAATGTGTGAGCTCTTCCAGCAGCRGGTGGGTTGGTGCTGGGACTGCCGGGTGTCTGCGAGGTCAGGGCAGCAGTTTGGCTGAGCCCTCCTCACCAAATCAGCCTTGGCTGCTCCCTAGGTTAGATTCACCCTGATCATCCGTGTTTTTTCTCCAGATGGGATGCTCAGAAGCTGCTCCACGTGGTCTGGAGTGGTGGGAARGGAAAGGAGAGGTGAGGGAGAAGGGCTCAGGCCACTGGGTACCTCAGGCCACTGTTCCCCAAGGAAGCTGAGCAGCCCCTCGCCTTCCCCTGCCTGTCCCAGCAGCCGGGGTGTTCCTTCTGCCTTCTAATTGCACCCAATAATGGCTTTTACACTGCAGTATTTTCCCTACTGCAGATTTCTCCTACAAGCCAAAATTAGCAGCAGTTCAGGCAGAGTTTAGTAGCGTTCGAGGTCATTTTAGTTCTGTTGATGCTGAGTTCTTTTCTCAGAGGCAATGAACGGCTGTCAGCTGCCCACTCCTGTGGTTCAGGGAGGGGTCCATCCAAAGGATTGTCCCACTGGTGTCCCCAGCGGGTCACTGCTTAGGGGATCACCAGGTACTGACCTGGCACCAGGGCAGGCAGTTCCTTTGGGACAGGCAGGGCCACTCCCATCATCCTCACACACAGGAGAGGGGGTGCATGGACCAAACTGGGGGTACAGCTACTTCTGACCCTGCCCTGGTCACAGCTGCTGCTGCTGGATGGCAGCAGGGTCRTTCTCAGGTGATGCCAAAATGTCACAGTCTGTGCCCTTTTCCTTCTACTGTAACTTTGCCAAACGAGCTCCAAGGAAGCACTGGCCTGTGCCAGCAGGAGCCRTGCCCTGGGCTGTGCTCTCGTGCTGGGGGTACCGGTGCTTTGGGAGAAGAACCAAGGAATTTGGGAGCACAGGCGTGACTCTGTCAYCCACACACCAAATGTTTGCTTCTTGGCCTTTGCAAATCCAAACTGATCAACAATGTGCCTTTGGGACCRTCCTTATCTCAGCCTTGTCTGCAGCACCGGTCCCACGCCAGGTTTGTGCCTATGCAAAGCAGGGTGGTGGCAGGGTCTTGGGGACACCGTGACGCGATGGGGAGAGGTGTCCTGGTCCCCAGTGGGATGGGACACGTGGCTGTCCTGCAGCGCCCTGCTGAGCCATGCCCACAGAGGGGAAGCTGGCCTGCCAGGGATGCTCTCGACAGCAATAGGATGTGGGGATTGGCTTCTCCAAGGGGGAGAAAAAATCTGAAGACACTCAAAGAAGGAGTCAGGCCCATAGCGGGGGCAGGAGCTGAGCTGTGACAGCAGGTGAAATGCTCACTGCACCCTGGCTCTGCTCCCTCCAGAGCCCCTGCTGAAGCTCCCATGGCTTTCTCCTGCTTGGGCAAAGTGTCTGTGAGTTTGTTCCCAGGGGGATGTGTGTCCTGACAGCGTCACCCACCCTTCCCAGGCATGTCCCCTCCCAGCAGCACMGGACTCTGCTATCGCCACTTGCTATTGTGCCTTTTGCTCACCAGCTGGTTCATTCCAAAGGTCTAAGGATGGTGAAAATGATAATCCAGGATTTTTTTTTTCTGGCCATCTCACCCTGTATTTCTTCCCCAGCCTTTTTCTCACTTGTTCTGGGATCTCAGCTCTCCCAGCAGCGCTGGGGGGTTTGAGMACACGGTTCCCACTGGGGTTTGCCTCCCAAAGACACATCCTCTGAGTGATTTACTGCAATCTTTGGTGGACAGGGGTTGCAAAACCCATTTGGTGCAGACCCTGGTTATGTCAGTACCATTAAGATTCRAGTTCTACCTTTTTTTTTATTTTTTTATTTTGCTGCTATGGGTTGGTGTGTTCAGCCGGGTGTCAGACAGGCAATTAAAGGTTTGTCACTTGTCATTTTCTAAGGGGTTTCCGATGTGGAAAGTCCTGCAGTATTTGTATAGTGAATGGATATTTTCCCCAGGCATAATCTGGTTAAGCATCCTTGTTGTTTTCCATTGGACTGGAAGAGGTGGCCAATTCAGCCATCTTCCTGAGAAACTGAGTCTATTTTTATATATATATTTTGTACCAAAAAWAAAMAAAMMAAMMCAGGAGTACACTGAGGGATGGAGATGATAGTTTAGAAGTTTGGTTTGTGTTGAGTTCCTGAGCTGCGTGTGACGGGCTCCAGAGCCAGGAGAAAGGTTTTATGGACAGAAATTTGAGAGATAGGTGAAAACAAACAATTGTTCTTGTAACTTGTGCCACTCATTGCTCTGATTTGTACATTTTAATTAAAGAGAGAGCCAAATCGGTCCTGTATGACACTTACAATTGGTTTAAACTGCAGCTGTTTGTTTGCTTTTATTTTCTGAGAACAAAAGTCGGAGATGTTATTGCCCTGGGAAAGCATGAGGGCCATGGGAGCAGGAGCAGCTCCCCACACAGCACAGCACCCTCCCGGCCCCTCGCTCACGTTCCCTGCGCAGTTTTTCCAGTGTTCTGGACACTGACGCTAGTGTAGTCCCCCAGCTCTAGGCTGCTTTTAATTTATTTGCAGGAAAACCTAGGAAATGGTTACGTCGGGTGGGGGGGTTTTGTATGACTTTTCCACTGTTCTTTTTTAGCATATCAATAAATATTTTTTTAAACTTTTCAGCCTCGTGTGGTCAGTGCTCCGGGAGTGCCTCCATCCCTCTCCTTACCCCTGGCACCGCCTGGGGCCGCTCCCCTCGCCGGGCAACCGGTCCGGGCTGTGGCGGGGCCCCGGGTGGGACTGGGGCCGGGGAACCGAGGCGGAGAGACCCCACCGACATCCCTCCGGGGGTCCGGGCCGAACACAGCCCCTCCCGGTCCCGGACTGCACCGGGGATGGAACTCAGG